ACATATTTTTGATATTTTGAATGATATTTGAATACATAAAATCTGAAAAAGGAGTGCTCATAAGCTTACAATCATCTTATTTTTTAATCTTTTGCATCTACAATTCAAATTTTTGAAGTAATAAAATGGCAAAAATCATAAGCTGCACTATAAACATGTATAGTCAATTAGACGCAAAAGTTAATTTGATAGTGTTTTCATTGTTTATATTGATAATTAAGTAGAAAATGAATAAAATTATTAAGATATTAATGATCCATCCGCAACTTGCACGATTATTTAAGATTATAATTTTTTTCCTATTTCTATTACACATTTTCATACAAACCCTATTGTAACTATAGATATGATTGCTGAAAAAGAAGGTTGGGGAACTACTGAATTTGAATTCTCAATAATTAAATTTGCATTAGGATACGATTCCTCTAATTCTTCAGGATGCCTTAATTTGAATTTAATTTTGCAATCATTTTATAATCAAAATTTCAATAATGTATAATCAGAAATATAAACAGACAGCACAGCAACATCTTATAATATAAAGTAATTCTTTGGTAAATTAAATAATATTAAATTTTAAATACATCAAATATCCTTCCAATAATTTGTTTAAAGAATTTTATTTAAATTTGCAATATGCTATAAGGTTTAAATTAAAATATTTATTTTTGATTCATAATCCACACAAATTAATTTAAAAATAGATGATATTGTTTATAATTAGGTATTGTATATTAAAGTAAATTTTATTATCAAGTTTGAAGGTTAAATTTGTAATCAATATTCAATTTAAATAATAAATTTATCTTAGTCGTATCAACATTATGGCTCAAAGTTAAAAATATCAAAATAAGTTAATTATAGTGATATAGATTTAAATTATTTAAGTTTTGCAGAGTTTGGTAATGAATGCGAATGTTTGATAGAGTAAATTATCAATTGTAGAATTACCAAATATGGATAATGTCTAGTATGCTGACCTGAGTATGAATTAGATTTTAGTAAAACTCAATGTATTCCTAAATGCTAAGATGGAATTATATTATAAGAAGAAGTGTGTGATGATGGTAATAGAATTTAATTTGATGGATGTTATAAATGCTTAAAAAGTTGTTAAATTGAATGCTTATTATGTTTTGATAATCAGTGTTTTAAAAGTCAACATTTTTGGCACCTTTAAAAGTATCAATGTATACAAATTTGTGGAGATGGGCAATTAGCAATCTTTTCTAATGAATAATGCAATGATCCTTAAGACTCTAATATTTTTAATTGTAAATATTACTGTGAGGATAACTGCCTAATTTTTGTTTAGGTTTGTTTGTCATCTTTTCAGATGATTGATGGAAAATGCTTATCAGTTTGTGGAGACAATATTAATCTTAAATAATTTTATTGTTAAAATTAGCTAGTAAAATTCTTTAAGAGAGTTAAAGGGAAGTCTTATTTTTTCAAAATATCAAGATTAATAGAAACATTTATGTAATAAAAAGAATAAATTCAAACTTAAAAGATCACCAAAAGTAAATCTTATTGAATTTTACGATTTAATTAAAATACTTTTACATGAGAAAAATTGTTTACTTAATCAAAAAATATTATATAAGGTTGCAAAATGATTAAACTAAATGTAAACGGCCCAAAATGACTAAAAATTATAGAAAAAATTATGTAGTTTACAATATTAAATTAGATAAAGAAAACCGTTGTTGTAAGTTATGTTAAAACTAGGAATATTTTTTAAATACTCAAACTTTTCAGTGCTAAGTCTATTAATAATAAAATAACATGCAAAAAAGAGTGGAGGAAATATTATGTCCATCTAAGTGTTGGATTAAAACAAATGTATTAACAAATGTGGCAATAGATTACTACATATTAATGATGAATAATGTGATGATGGTAATAATACTGGCGGAAATTGATGCTCTGCTTATTAATTAAACCAATTTTTTTAGTCTTTGCGCTTTTATTTAAGTACCGTATCTCAATCTAATATTGACTTCTGATAAAAAAATTCAAACCAAAATTCTTGAACTATTCTTCTCTTCAGAAATTTATATGTCTTCAGAACTTAATTTTGAGGAAGCTATTTTATTTTAAATCTAACCAGAACTATAACTGGAATTTTCTGTAGTTCCTTTCTAAAATATTACTCGTGAGCAAGTCTATCGAAATTAGAATGGTAGTTTAAGACTCAATTTATAGAAAATTCATAAATATAAAAATTAAATTATTTTGGGAGGAATAATTGATATTTCAGGAAGTATTCATTTAGAAAATGGTTAAGATTAAGACAACAGAAAAAGTTGGGTTTTTATAGAAATTTTAAAAGGAGGGGTAGATTGAAAAAAATAGATAAACTTAATTTATAAATAAGATTAATTACAAAAATACCTAAAGAATGTTTATGTTAATAGTAATATAATAAAGATAGTTTACAAATAAGAATTGTTTCCCCTAAATCAACTATAACCCAGCCCTCCTAAGTACAAATGGAATACTTTTTTAGCCAACTTTTTCTTTATATATTTCTATATGTATTTTTATTGAACTAACCTGAGATATTTTAGTTATAAGATAAAATATACATTTATATGAATTTAAGAATTATTTACAAGTATAATATTGTGATCACAAAAATAATATTTTCTTATTAATTAAAATAATGAATTATATTTAGACTGATACTAAAGAAGACTTTAACTTTCTAATTAACAAATTATTAAATGAGCAACAGAATATTAACAAAAGAAACCTTGATATTTTAATGAAGTCGCTAGAAGATTTACAATAATTGTAAGTTAACTTAAATATTTAAATTGGAAAAACTATGAGAATATATCAAGATTAAATTGTTACAGTTCAATAGGCATTTATATAATATCAAGAATAAATAAAGAAGTTATATGAACTTGATATCAATGAATGTTAGAAAAATTATGATCAGGCACATAATTTGTAAACAAATTTTCAAGATTTCAAAAATATTCTATAGAAGAATTTATCAAATATTTTAATTGAAAAATAGATATAACAATTTAATGATAATCTACTCTAATTATAAGATCCATTTGAGTAAAGCGAAACAAATCTAACAATTGAAATTTTTCTAAAAAATATTCATAGCTCATTTAAAATATCATAATGTTAAATTATGTGCGAACTTCATAATAATTAAATATCTACGATAGATCTGAATTAAATTAAGGTAATTCCAAAAAGATTTGCTTGTTAAAAATGTGTATAAGAGTATCCATCTGAGTATTTTACTCTTGAATAATTTAAAGATAAAATAAATTTATTTTAATCTTATAAGTAAAGATTTATGGAAGAAAAAATCTAAGAGATTAATGAAGCATAAAATCTAAATGAACAATTGAAAAATATTGTTTTAAATAAACTCTAATCCTTTAAGGCTAAAATTATCATGAATTATTTTGACTTTTCAAGTTAAGAGATGTTTGATATTGCAGAACAATTAAGTAATCCAAATAGCTTTGAATCATTTAAATAAGTTTGCAATTAAGAATATTAATTACTAATTTCATAATAAAAGATATTGATTAAAAATTTATATAATTTAGAAGATATGTAGATGCATAGTCTGAAAAATTCAGAATTAATTCAATAAACTAAAAATCAGTCTACTTTTGAGAACTTAGAAATTAAATAACAATAAATAAATATCGAATTACAATGCAAATAAATATAATCTAAGAAATTAAGATTTTTTAATTTGATCAAAATTTTCTTCCTTCTACTTATTTTGATTGTTATATGTAATATTCAGTTAAACAATAAATTTTCTAATCACAATTATTAATAAAATTAGATTTAAGATTGGTAAAACTTAGATAAAGAAACAGTTTTTTAAGAGTAATAAACCACAAATATAAAAATATATAAAGATTAATACTTTGATGATTTAATAACTGGGCTGAATTAAAATTTATAAATGAAAGAACTCAAATGCAGTGTAGATCCATTTTAATAAGCACAAGAACAACATTAAAAAAGTAAAACTAAAGAATGTGATTAATTCTAAGATTTTGAAAAAGCATCATCAGAACAAAAATATACGTAAACGAAAGAGTTTGATGGAGTTATTTGGGATTATACTTTTATTACTCCAATATAATTTAGGACTAAATTTATGATTACTTCTACAAAAAATTAGCAATTAAAGTACATATTAGATGGATAAATTATAAGAATGTAATTATTAAAATTTATATTAATCGTAGAGATCACTATAAAGATACTTCTTAGAAACTGTAAATAATGACAAATTTAGAATAAATAAAATATTTATCATGGATAGGGGAATATGGAATTGATAATTAAAAGATTAAAAATTGGATGGGATTTTGGAAAGGAGAGATTTTAGCAAATGTTGGTGGAATGTACTCGAATGATGGCAAAAAATAAGGGTTATGGGTGGAATTAATAAATAATTATTGGAGGTAAATAACTTATGAATATAAAAGCAAAGCTAATGTTTATGAAGTAGGAGAGTATATAAATAATAAAAGGATAGGGAAATGGAAATATATTTATTAAAATAATGAGATGTAATATAAAAAAAATTATTATTATAAGTGGAGGCGGCTTTTATGATGATGAAGGTTAGAAAACTGGTGATTGGATTGAATTGAGTGATGGATTTTGTAGTTTTTCATAAGTCACTTATCATGGTGAATATCAAAATAATAAAAAAGTTGGAAGATGGGAGACTTTTTATAAAGAACGGTTTCAAAATGAAGTTAAATTAATGTAAAAAATAAAATTATAATATTTAACACATTTTAGAGGAGGGGGAAGTTATATGGAAACTGGATAAAGTTCAATTAAGGTAGGGAGTTGGATTGAATAATATGATAGATTTTCGAGTCACAATCAAATTATTTATGTAGGTGATTATTAAAATGGTAAAAAA